CTACCCAACAGCCACCGTTACGGCTACACACCCTCGGCCATTCGACCCATCGCAAGGCAAGCCCAACGAGAAGAACTCGGTGGGGAATACGTTTCTTTGGACAAATTGGCCCAATGGCGACGCTAATCATCTGGAAACCCCCTCGAACGATCGCCAACTCACAAACGGTAGCGCCTTTGCTCTAAATGGTCCGCGATCCAGCGCCAGCTCATATACCCGCGAATTGCCTCATTCGAAGGACGGTAGCATGAACTCATTAGGAAACGGGTCAGCTCGGGATCCCAAGGAGGATGGTCGGCCCTCCGCGACCTTGGAACGGAATTTCTCCGATAAATCCTTAGATACGGTCACAGGGCCAGGCTCTCCGGCGGCATCGATTGCAAGCCAACAAATTAACGGCACACTCAATCCCCGATCGTTCAATGGAAAACCCTTGGTAAATGGAGATTTAAATCGACAATCAACCGACGAGTTTCACTCCCCGGAATATGATGGCAATGCATCGGCGACCCGGTTATCCACCTCTCCACCTGACGACGCTGGCCGTCTTTCTCCCGATCCCGATCGATTATCCCCCTCGCAGAAAAGCCCTCATCGCTATTCTTCCCCTCCAGCCCCGGAAAATGGTATCTCGCCGGACCAAAGCAACACCAGTCTTCGCCATCGACACACATTACAAGTCCCGCGCACGACGAGCGGGCGCCGTGGTAGTCGTGATCAGTCGGAAGACATGGCCTACAGTAGCGGTCGCCTGTCTCCCACCACCGGAACCCGCCGGACATCCTTCAGCCTGGCCCGACGGGCTACTCGAACCAATCAATCGGAAAGCCTGCAAGACGAAGCAGCTCCCGACGAAGATGCAGCTCGCTGGGCAGAAGCCATCAAACAGAGGCGAGCCTCGAAGCGAAGACGCCGGGACGAAGACGATGATGATCGGGTCATCGTGGGAACCAAGGTGGACCAAAACCACGTGAACTACGTGACGGCCTACAACATGTTAACCGGGATTCGTTTCACTGTCTCGAGGATCAATGCCAAGATGGACCGGGAGTTGACTCCCGCGGATTTCGAGGCGAAGCACAAATTCTCGTTTGACATGTATGTTCTCAAGTGCTTGTTCTTCACTGTACATCGACTGACGCTCAACAGAACCGGCAATGAATTGACTCCTTCTGCGAAGTACGATTTCAAATTCAAGGATTATGCGCCCTGGGTTTTCCGGCACCTGCGAGCAAAGTTTCGACTCGATCCAGCGGACTATCTGATGTCACTTACAAGCAAGTACATCCTGTCGGAGTTGGGCTCTCCGGGCAAGAGTGGAAGCTTCTTTTACTTTTCCAGAGACTATAAGTACATTATCAAGACCATCCACCACTCCGAGCACAAACTGTTACGCAAGATCCTCCCTGAGTACTACCGGCACGTTGAACAAAACCCAAACACCTTGATTTCGCAGTTCTATGGTCTTCACCGTGTCAAGATGGCTTATGGGCGAAAAATCCACTTTGTTGTCATGAACAACCTCTTTCCTCCGCATCGCGATATCCACCAGACATTCGACTTGAAGGGTTCTATGATCGGCCGTGATCTGCGCGAGGAGGATCTGGAGAAGAACCCGAGAGCGACCTTGAAGGATTTGAATTGGGTTCGGAGGAACCGCGAGATACAGTGTGGCCCGTCTAAACGCGACTTCTTCCTCGCTCAATTAAAGCGAGATGTCGAATTGCTGAAAAAGCTCAAGATCATGGATTACTCACTATTAGTGGGAATTCACGATGTGGAAAGAGGCAACGAGGAGAAGCTCCGTGACAAAACTCTGCAAGTTTTCCAACCCGGGGGTGATCGCGAGGAGGATGCGAACCCCAACATGTTGATGCGCACACCGTCCAAGCTGGAAAACGAACGCAAGGCCCGAGAACTTCGGATGCTCATCAAGCGTGAGCGCCCAGTTCCATTAGACCAAGCAACTGCGAAAATGCCTGATGAGATACTCGACGAGAGGAAATACCACGTCTTTTACGCCGATGACGGAGGGTTCCGCGCCACTCATGAGAACGGCCAGCCTGGCGAAGAGATATACTATCTTGGTATCATCGACTGCTTGACTCACGTAAGTTGCCTCGAGGTGCCAGGTTTTGGTATGATGTACTATGTTACTAACGAAATGTACAGTATGGAATGGTGAAGAAACTAGAACATTTCTTTAAGGGTCTCTCCCACGATCGCACTCAAATATCGCCGATTCCTCCAGAAAGTTATGGAGATCGTTTTATCAACTTCATCAAGGGTATCACCATGTCAAAGGAAGAAGCACAGCGACAGCGGGAAGCCAAGGCCATGGGAGAACCGTCCACAGAAAGAACACCTTCTGTCGAAGAGACCATGCAAGCAGCGGAAAGAGAGGCGTCGAGAGAGTCGTCCATTGTACAGCCTCGAACTCTGACGACGGTGCGAGATCCTAACGACTCCGGCGTTCTCGCACCTTCAACACTTCCGATTGTCGAAGAAGCAGGCGAGGCCAGCAGCCTCGGTGGCCACAGTTCACACAGCCGCCATGGCCCACCTGTTCCCGAGAAGGACCTGCCACAAATTCCCCACCAGAACGGTGCGCCTGTAGTCGGCAAAGGGAAGGGGGTCGTTCGCAACGGGCAGCCTGAAATGGTTTCTGTCTCTGGCAGACAATGAACCTCCCCGTTGCTGATTTTGAACCGACTTTTCATGATATCCTCGTTCGCAGCTCTGCGCACCTTTCGCATCATATACATACCCTGGCGCCACGGATCATCCGCTTTCCTGCACGCGACGCATCTTCCCCCATCCACATCATTCCTATAGTCCTCATGTTGCCACGAGTGATGTTAATTCCAATCATACCATCGGGCGCCAGCCCCTATGGTCAGAATCCCTGTTTTCGACATCTTGAATACGTTCTACTACCTTCTTTTGGTCACCGTAGCGGTATCATCCGCTCAACCCAACACATTCTTTCCATCATTCCCACCCGGCATAGCGGATCACATCTGCTTGTGCCCACCATCTTTTATATCAGCTACAGCACTACTACTATCTCCTTATGTCTCTTTCTTTCTCCCTCTCTCTTTCCCTCTCTTTCCCTTTTTTTTTTTTTTTTTTTTTTTTTTCATGGCCTAATTCGTGATAAAATATTCACGACTCCAGTTTTGAGGAAACATGCCTACGTAGTCGGGCTTACTGACACTTGGCCATGTTCTCAAACCCTTCCTACATTCATCTGTATCAAATAGCTCTTTGTCCCCCATTTTATTATTGTTGTCGTTTCATTTGTTTAATGTCAACAAGAAACCACCACTGACCCTCTTTTATGAAGGGGTCTATTGCATCCAGCCCAATTCATTACCTGACTAAATTTCTCTTCTCGCACCTTAGCTCTGTACCCCGGACAGCGCCTTCCTTGCTCTAAGCATAGTAAGCAAAGGCGGGCATCATCAGCATTGCTCTCTTCCCCATCTTTGCGTCGGCTATCATTGTTTGGCTTATTTGATTTTGGCCTTTATACACATCGAATTTGGATGGGGCTAAGCGATTGAACTTTCATCCTTTTTGTGCGCGAGCAGGTCCTATCGAGCGGTTTAATTGATCCGATCTGATTACCTCTTTTTTCTGATTGTGTATTGGTGATTTTCCATTGCCTTGTTTTGCGATTTGCTTTGTGTCCGTGAGTTTCCAGTGATTGCTCTCTCCCTTCCCTTAGAAGACTGATTGATCAATTGATCGAGTGGTGGGGGTCCCATAGAAGACGCGCTACAAGTACAGCGCAGCGCAGCAAAGCCAAGCAAAGTAGACAATTGATACCAGAACACCGCATTGCCTTTGATTATTTTTTGTGTTGTAGTGTATACAGTCTTAAGGGGTTGAAGAGTGAGTGGTCCGTGTACTCCACTGCCGAGTTATAATCCGCAGATACCATAACATGATCTAATGTGTTGGTAGCCGGCCGACTCATGTGGTTACCTGCACCATTATCCTATTAGCTGTGTGGTACATCAAGATCCCTTAGTCTCTACGCAAGTTGCTCGAAAGTTGGAAAGGCGAAGTACTCGACCCCTGATGTCATGTCTGACCTCCCCGGCCGAGAACCCGGGAGCAGATCGATATCTACCAGTCGATGCAGAGTACCATACTTATTCAGGAATCCGTGTTATGGTATTGACATAAGGTGACCTCTAGGAGTTAGCGTAGTGGTTGAGTGTTTTAAATGATACTACTCTGGGCCCAGGTAGTTAGAGGACTCAGCTGGAGTAGCTCCAAATAACCATGTTGCATAAAACAACTGCACCTGAGGATAGCCTCCAGGCACGCCATTTGAAAAGAGAAGTTGGAAGAGGGAACCAGAAAGGATAATAGTAGCAAAGCAAAGCAAAGCAAAGCAAAGAAAGACCAGATCAGCGTGAAAGGAGCCTTGATTTTGCAAGCATATGAATGGGTAATTAATTTAAAATAGAGATAGAGGATCACCGATTTTGAAAAAACGCAAAGTGAGCAGAAAAACAAACAAAAAAGCAAAAAGCAGGAAAGTTAAAACAAAACCTCCAAGAACGCCCTTGTGAATGCAATTTTTGATTCCACCAGTGAAAAAGAAGAAGAAAACAACCCGTAACCGAGTTCAACCATCCCGCATCTGCATTGATCCAATTGCTGAAAAGGCGAAGAAGGATGTTCAAAGCAAAAACAGAGGGCAACGAGGCCGCCGCCGGATAACGCCAATGAAACCGGATCTCATGATAGGAGTAAAAAGAAGAAAACAAATGAGACGTCCATCAAGCACCGGAATAATAGGAAGATTCTTCGTTATAGACGATAAGAAGAGAGGATGAGCGTGATCTTGCGTAAGAGTGACTCGTGTGTGCTGGCCTGGTGCTTATTGCTGGGAACAACACATGTCAAATAGGAGGTGAGTTGAGCGTACTGAAGCACATTATGGGAATTTGCGCGAAAAAGGTATGAGTGGCCGTTGCACGGATTTACTCTGCCTTGCCTTGAGTGACTTTGGCTGCTTGGATGGCCGACATCTTCTGAGTCCACCCTTGCGTAGGCTGGGGTTTCTTGACGGTGCGGAGGTCGTCGGTGGAGAAGCCTGATATGCGCATATTATACTGGCGTTCAAGGACGAGCTGCAGATCGCGGATCTCCAGGGTTGAAGAGGGTCGCAGCTTGGCGATCCGGCATGCGGAGGTGACGACGTCGTCCACAAAGTCGTCTGCCATCTGGAGGATGAACTGTCCAAGATTGGTCAGCGAATCGTTGTAATCAAGAGCAAGTCGCGCAGCGAATGGGTGTTCCCTCTTACCTCTTCTGCATCTGGAGTCAAGCCTTCACCCTCTCCACCACCAGTGACTTGGCGAACCAGGATATCGAGCATCTTCTTGCTCAATACTCTCTGACCCTCACCCTCAAGGACATATCCAGGGTGCTTTTGAATCGCAGGCTGGTTCATCACGCCTACCGCCGCGTGGCTCGGACCGCCAGACAGCGTAGGGCGCGCCGGTGCCATGTTCACTGGTTCTGGGGTGGGCACATTCAGGTTTTTGGGGATGGGCATAGTGTGTGTACGTGCTGGGTTTTCGGTAGAACGGTTGGAGTTGTAACCTTGCGGATGTGCGTGAGGATTGGCAGCTGCTTGATTCATGTTCTGCTGCTGAGGCACGTTGTTGGTGTTCATGTTGTTGTTGGAGTAGTTCTGAGCAGCCTGGGCCATAGCAGCCTGCTGCGACAACGGGCGGGGCGGTCCCTGGATCATTGTCTGAGATGTCGGGGTAGGGGTGGAAACGTCCGGGACAGGACCTGGGACCGGATTGAAAGGTACCTGTGAGCCAGGTGGCCCTGGCTGCTGCTGAACCGGAGGTGGGATTTGTTGTGGAAGAGGCGGTTGCTGGGTGGGTGGTTGCTGAGGAACAGGGCCAACGGCAGGTGCGGGACCGGGACCGGGAACAGTGGGTGCCTGACCTGGTTGAGAAGTAGATGGAGACATCGCGGTATGTCCAGCCTGGTTGCGCGCAGCGTTGACGGCCGAGTTGATGGTGTGTGGGGCGGGGGTGGGAGCTTGTCCAGGGTGAATTTGTCCAGGAACACTTGCTGGAGCTGGGCTCGGGCCAGTCGGCGCCGGCGGCGGCGCTGTTCCTGGTTGAGGATGTTGCTGAGCAGAAACATGCTGCTGAACGCCAGCCCTCTGTTGCTGTGCCTTGAATGATTCTTGCTGTTCTTTGAACTTAGAGAGGAAGTCGCTCCCCTCACGGTACAGCTTCTCTGCCGCCAACTGGCGGCTCTTGAATTCTCCCACCTCTTCCTGTGTCATATTTCCCGCGCCCTGGCGTTGGGTGAATTGTTGACGGATATCCGCGATGCGAACCCGTCCGATCTCCTGCTTCTGTAAAGCGATCCCATAGCGAAGCTTGGCCTCGGGCAGCCACGTCTGCGCCTGTTCGTTGCTGATATTGGGAGGGAGAAAGAACTGCAGACTGTTGACTTTCTGCTGGATTTGCGGGAGGAGTTGATTGAAGGTCTGAGGGTTCACAGACTGCGTCCGTTGTACTGGCTGGCCCGGCTGGCCCGGTTGCCCCGGCTGCGCCGGGTTTGTTGCTTGCATTTGCTGATGCTGGAGCTGGCGACTCTGTTGAAAGGCGCGCATGCCTTTCATGAGGGTCTGGGAGATTTGGGCGAGCCGTGCATGAGCCTGCTGGTACTCCGAAGTCTGCGGATCGCGGCCGTTGAGAAGTTCCCACAGGTTTCGAACCAACTGAGTATGCTGTGCCTTTTGCTGATCATTCAAATGAGGGAGTTTCTGAACTTGATCCGTTCGGATTAGATTCGAGTGCTGCGGCACCATGGGCTGCTGCTGAGTCGCCGGGCCCTGCGCCTGCGCCTGCGCCTGCGCCTGCGCCTGAACTTGAGCCTGCGCATGGGCTTGAGCAGCCTGCGCCTGAGCCTGTGAAGTATCCATGTTTATGTAGATAGTTTCCCTCCAGCTAGGTAGGCGTGGTGATGAGGCCGTTTGTCGAAAAGATGGACTCGGGGGATGTAACGGTTCGAGTGAATCGGCTAGAAGTGCGGCGGGAGGCACGCGTCGTTCGGGTGCCGATACAGCTGTGGTGGCTATGGAGTTGGCTGCGACCGAACCGAGCGCAATGAGGAAATAAAAGTACGGTGAGTGAACAGCTGGCAGCAGAGACAGTTGCTCTAGTTTTCTTTAGTTTTGGAAAAGAGATATATAGCAGTTGAGGTGGAAGATAATGAGCAGCGGGAGGAGCAGAAGTCAGAAGAAGACAAGCCGGGGACGATTATGGCGGGTCGGAAAATGCCTCAGGCTTTCATTCATTCGCATGCCCTGACTTCCTTTCCGGCAGGCGGTCGTGATAACTTGGAACTTGGAACGGTACTGATACGACTGTCAATTGCGCTACACTGGCAATCTACAATTTTATCTGGGAAATTACTCCTTGATCTATGGCGTCTTCATTTATGGCAGCAACGCACACATTTAGGGATGAAGAGGCGGAACAAGCCTCATTAAGGTTCATTGTAGCGGTCACTCGAAGCATTGATGTCACGAATCACCGGGAGCAACAAGCATATATGCAATATAACACGGCATGAGATTATATAGCTTGCATCTCTGTTGTCGGGAAATGGGGAATGAGGGACGGCTGAGACAACTTCAGGTAAGACCACGAGACCCGACCAATCTCCAAGTTTTCTCAGAAAACGAGACAGGAAACTTCGCTGATTTCAGTCTGAAACGAGTGTCCTCACGTATGGCTGGGTAACTTCATCGGCGACCGCAAGCTGCCTGATGTAGTTCGCCGGAGTCGTGAAAGAGCCCTAGAGTAAGTGGTGTCAGGGTCTAAATGAGACCCAGCCATGCCACTTCTGCGCAATCCAACATGGCGCATTTGCGCATTCTTGCTACTGTATGGTAGCTCAACTCATCAGCGCTTGCTCGGATGTGCCCACATCTTGATTCGGTCGGACCGGCTGAAGGAGAGCCAAGAGCAGCATTTCACTGAGATGAAAACTATCAGGCCAGCACTGGTTTTGCTGGAAATGCGTGCAAGATCATGGATGGTAGTATCGGGTTCTGCGTTGTTCTCAGCCCAGCAACCCACCAAGATCCCGTTCCATCCCATTGACCCGGTCTTCTAGCGTTCGCTTTCTTCTCTCTAACTCTCTGATCTCGTCCATTTCCCGGGACAGATCAGCATCTGTGACGTCGGCCACCTCGGGTTGCAGTGTTTCTCCAGTATCGTAATCATCATAGTCATCACCGTAGGAGTGGCTCATTTGCTCCAGCTCTGCAGCGTTGCGGGCCACGCGCTCTTCCAATTCCATAATTGAGTCCGTGATCAATTGGTGACGATAGCGAAGACTCGCGATCTTTTCGTGTGCGCCAGCGACCGGGCTACCCCCATAAGTCAGACAGTTATCATTAGACGAGCGCAGGAAGGGAGAGCTTACTAGACATTGCAAAGGATCTCTGCGCCGCGAAGCAAGACATCGACGTTGACTTCCCCGCGCGGACCCCGTCCCGCGGAGCGCTTGATCTCCTCCATCATATCTGAGCCTAGCACTCTGGCTACAGCGGACTGGTTTTTGTTGTTTCTGGCCGAATATATCCGACTCGCCATAGACTCCTTCTCTGTTTCTTGTGGGAATTGCGTGCCGCGGCGAGTAGCTCGGCGCTGCGCCGAGCTGACTGGCTTCACCGAGGGATCAGTCTGAAATAGAGCCCGTTCATGAGCTTCCGTGTCGCGGATTAGAGAGGTGATGTCATGAGAGCCCAAAAGAGCATTGGTGAACATTCGCGGAGGTGGAAAGCTGGAACGACAGCGGATCAGCAAGCTGGTACTGTACGAGGTTGCCCGGGTCGGGGTCTCACGGAAGTTCTGCAATGGCATTTGAGGAGAGCATGATTTGCTCAAGGTGGCTTTCGAGAAGCGACATGTTGAGCATAGACTGAGCGACGACAGGATAATAGTTGAGAAATGGGTGGATATACAACAAGAACCCGGGCGGTGTTTTCCGATAAGATCAATCATTCATGGAGGTGGTGGTTGTTGTTCGCGGTAAACATGCCAAGATGATTTCCAGCTGTTGCTGCCTCAAATACCAGGCCATCAGAGTGGCAATGTAACGAGCGAACTTACCAAGCTAACTTAACTTAGTTATCCATTTCTCCCCGACTCTCCTCTTACAACTACTAAGTCCCTACGGAGTACTGACGAACGTGAACTCACTGTACAATCCAACCAACCAGCCAGCCCACCTCAAAGGTTGACACCGGAAACCCCCGGATTCTTTCTCAGTAAGTTGGGCTACAGCTCTATCCCTCCAGAGCCAATTGACTCTGTATTCAATTGAACCGGACTAACTGACCAGGCGCCAGGCGCACGCGCAAGCTAGCTTGTCACTCCAGCTGACCCCCGACCGGTAAGACCGAACCTGACTAAGCCGCCCTGGGCTGCTTCTCTCGCTGTCCATCCCAGAGCCAGCCAGCCTTGACATCACATCACCACCTCATCAACCATCTGCTTCCAACTCACTCACCCACCATCCGCGATCTATCTTGCCTTCTGTTTGCATCTTTGACTTTTTTCTGTGTGTCTCTTACCCCATAACCCTTGCTTTCCCCCCACCCTCTCACCGGTGGTCTTTCATCTCTTGCCCCTTCCTCTGCTTCTGGTACCGCGGTCCTCATTGCTCATTTGAGCTTGAAAGCTGAAGCCGAAGCTTTATCCCCCCCTCCCCTTCTAGCCAAAAGACCCCCAGTTCACCAAGGATGCCGGCCGAGAGGCGCTCTCTGAGATCGAACAGCAAGTCGGATACCTCTTCATCTGCTAACGGTGAGAAGGGTCGCTCTACTTCACAGAACACCAGCTCCAACAAGGACCAACCGGCGCCCAATCGCGCCGCTGCCAACAAGGCCAAATCTACCACCGCCTCGAAAGCCGCCTCGTCGAATAGCACAGCAGATTCCGGAATGGGTGAACAGCGGGACCAGCCGCGGACCAACGGCTCCGACCCGACGAAGAACGGCATGAATGGTTCGGAAGATGTTGAGATGGGAGAGGATACGGCAGGTGGGCCTACATCCTCATTCACCGCCAGTAAGGATCGGAAAGGTGACGAGAAGATGACTGTTGTAGTGCCCCCGACCAAGGGTTCGAGGTTATCCGGCGAGAAAGCTCCGGACAATGAAGGCGACATCGCCATGGAGGGTGCGGACACCGAGGAGTCCAGGTCAGAGGTTGACCCGAAGGTCAAGGCTGTCCAAGGTGAGTAGACTCTTAAGTCCAAGGGGCTGTGATACCTTGACGGCCACTTATGCGATCTGCTGTAGATATCAAGTATAACTTCACATTGCTTGAGCGAGCTGTCAGCCACTTCGACCCCAGATTCACTCTCCGCGTTTTGCGTTCGATATCGTCCATGCGCAAGCACATCACACCAGATGTGCTGGCAGAAGCCATCGTCGAGAACTACCCGCCCTCCAACCTGACTGCTTCTTTCCTGTTGGGCGCCATCGATCAGACTGGCGCTTTTGACAGTGCTGACGCCAGCTCCAAGATGGACGTCGAATCGGAGAAGACTAAGTCGACCCCCAAGGAAATCCTGCCCGAGATCGACACTTATCTCTCTATTCTTGTTCAGATCTATCTGTACGACAAGAAGGAATTCCAGAAGGGCGCCAAGTTCTCCGCAGAATTGATCGAGCAGCTGCGGGCGCTCAACCGCCGCACTCTTGATTCTCTGGCGGCCCGAGTCTATTTCTACTACTCTCTCTTCTACGAACAGATTGCGCCTCTTCCTCCGTCGCCCGCTGCATCTGTCACATCGATTCGCCAGCCTCTGCTCAACGCGCTGCGAACGGCTGTCTTGCGCAAAGATGTGGATACCCAGGCGACCGTGATGACCCTGCTCCTGCGGAACTACCTGTCGACCTCCCACATATCGCAGGCGGACTTGCTGATCTCGCACAACCGGTTCCCCGCGTCTGCCTCGAACAACCAGATTGCCCGCTATCTGTACTATTTGGGCCGTATCCGGGCCATTCAGCTGCAGTACACGGACGCCCACGGGCATTTGATTGGCGCTACCCGGAAGTCTCCGTCCAGCCACAGTGCACGCGGTTTCTACCAGGCATCCCATAAGCTGCTCGTTGTCGTCGAGCTGCTCATGGGTGATATTCCCGACCGGGCGATTTTCCGTCAGCCTGCGTTGGAGCGTGCCCTGCACCCGTACTTCCTACTGGTGCAGGCTGTGAGCGTCGGTGATCTGGATGGATTCCTGAACATTGTAAATACCTACACTGCAACCTTCCGCAAGGATGGTACATACACCCTCATCCTGCGTTTGAGACAGAACGTGATCAAGACGGGCATTCGCATGATGTCACTCTCTTACTCTCGCATCTCACTTCGGGACATCTGCCTTCGCCTTGGCCTGGACAGCGAGGAGTCGGCTGAGTACATCGTGGCCAAGGCTATTCGTGATGGGGTGATCGAAGCCAGTTTGGACCATGAGCGTGGCTTCATGAAGAGCAAGGAGGTCGGTGACATCTACGCTACTCGGGAGCCCGGTGAGGTCTTCCACGAGCGTATTAGAGCCTGCTTGAGTCTTCACGATGAGAGCGTTAAGGTGAGTTCAAATCGCACGTTCTGCTATCATACTTGTGCTCACCATCTCAATTCTAGGCCATGCGTTTCCCCATGAACCAGCACCGATTGGAGTTGAAGAGTGCACAGGAAGCACGGGAACGGGAGCGGGAGTTGGCCAAGGAGATTCAAGAGGGAGACATGGATGATGAAGATGCCGGCGGTGACTTTGATGCTATCTAAGGGATTATCTTATGGAGCGTCAATAACATGCAGCAGGTTTCTGGCTTCGTTCCTTCCATAATTCTTTGCCGATCCCCGACCGGTTGGACGGGGAGGCCTTCAACAATTATGTGTTCTTATCTGCAAATTCAATGTTCCGGGATGTGTTTGAGGGGAATTGGCAGGACTGAGCTTTTGCCGGCGTGATCTTCCATGTTTCTCATCTATTATTGAATCATTTTTCCTATGTTGTTTGCGGTGTAGATGCTGTTTCACCCGCCTACTCGTCTGTTCCATTCTTTTCCTTTTGACTTCCGAGTTAGGTGTTGAAGGTGATGATGCAACCGGGGGAGCCTCTTCATTTTGTAGTTTCCACCATAGCCGACTTAGACCAGCCAATTTCCTTGTGAGAGATGTGGCATTGCTTATCAAAGGAGGTCGAGCATTGGTAGGTAGGTATGCATGCACCAGGGAAGGTTTGAAAGTTGTACTGTACAGTATGAGGCCAGACATTGATGATGAGTGACGGCCCAGGCGGAACCCCGATCCGGCCCGAGGTCTGTTCCACTGCAGGCACTGCAAGCCCAGGTCAGTGACCGCCCGATTCTCTCTCGAAATCTTCGGCTTCAATTAATCTATTGATTATTCCCAACCTTTCCTTTCCCCCCAACAGTCATTGCCGGATCTGGACCGGTTTCCAATCGTTGTTTGCTCCTTGGGTATGACTGTCTTTTAGATTCTGATTCGGTGTACTCGCCTCGATTCTCCACCTCTCTTTCCATCATGAAAGCTCGCACAGTCCCAGCCGCCGGGCTAGTACTATCGTCTCGCATTACGACGCCGTCGACCACAACGACAGTTTGCTGGCAATGCCTCCGAAATGATCTCCTCTCTCTTCAGACGCAAGTGCAAACCCGCAAATATCATCCCACCCGCCGGAGAGATGTCTCTCCATTCGGGGCGGCCGTGTCGGCGGCCCAGACACTTTTCAAAGGCCTCCCCAAGGCGCCGCCGGGCATTTCGGTCGACCCATTGCGCATGGTCGGCAAGGAGCTCAAGTTCCTGACCAAGAACCTTCGTCAATTGCTTGGGTCTGGCCACCCGACGCTGGACAAGGTGGCTAAATACTACACGCGCAGCGAGGGCAAACACATGCGGCCGCTGCTTGTTTTGCTCATGTCACAAGCGACAGCGCTGTGCCCACGCAAACCCCAGACTGTCGACTACAACGCGACGGTCAATGATCCGATTACCTCATCCTCCATTTTGGTCGACAACAACCCAGACCTCCCCCCTTCGCTGTCCTCCGCGACCTCCAGCAGTAACCCTGATGCGGCCTACGACTTTGCTGGCGATGAAAATATTCTCCCTACACAGCGCCGACTCGCGGAGATCACCGAGTTGATTCATACCGCATCTCTACTGCACGACGATGTCATCGATAATGCTGTGTCGCGCCGCTCCTTCACCTCGGCTAACCTGCAGTTCGGAAACAAGATGGCTGTGCTGGCGGGTGACTTCATGCTGGGTCGGGCCTCGGTGGCTCTAGCCCGGCTGCGAGACCCCGAGGTCATCGAGCTGATGTCGACCGTGATCACCAACCTCGTGGAGGGCGAATTCATGCAGCTGAAGAACACAGCCGCGGACGAGAAGAAGCCCGTCTTCACGGACGAGACCCTCTCCTACTACCTGCAGAAGACGTACCTCAAGACCGGCAGTCTGATCAGTAAGTCTTGCCGGTCGACCGCGGTGCTGGGCAATAGTGTTCCTGCGGTTGTCGAGTCCGCCTACCAATACGGGCGCAATCTGGGACTGGCGTTCCAGCTGGTGGACGATATGTTGGATTACACGGTCACCGAGGCCGAGCTGGGTAAGCCCGCCGGTGCGGACTTGGAGCTGGGCCTGGCCACAGCCCCGCTATTGTATGCGTGGAAGCAGTTTCCTGAATTAGGCCCGCTGGTTGGCCGTAAATTCAGCCAGGCCGGTGACGTTCAGATGGTAAATAAGATCCCTTCAGCCCATTGAGCATCCAGCAACATCGACTGACACTCACAGGCTCGCGAACTTGTCCAAAAGGCTGGCGGTGTGGAACAAACCCGCGTTCTGGCCCAGGAATATATTGACAAGGCGATCGCCGCGCTCGCGGACTTCCCTGACAGCGAAGCCAAGGCTGGTCTGATTCAGATGTGCGAGAAGACTATGAACCGCCGGAAATAGATTGATCCAGCCAGCGACACGGACGATCCGTGTGCACATTGTCTTTTGCAAAGCGTTCTTATTATAGAGACCAAGCTGGGGATGCCCGGCCGTCCTGTTTCGCTTTCAGCCTTCCTTTTCTCCCTCTGTTCATAAACTTAGACACGTTCCTTTTCTTTTTGCAAGCCGACATGTCCCATGTACTACTATTTCTTATCGTTTATATCTGGCTGTCACGAGCTTGGTTTTGGGGATCATCTGGCAACTCTTTCCATCGTATAGTTTGGTTGGCTATATAGCACATGGGCTAAACTGGAATGAGCTTGGGTAGATCGCACTCAGTTAATCGGTCAGCTGATCAGATTGGGCTCCTTGGATGGATGGATGCAGGCAGGAAGGCAGGGATGAATTTATGGAAGCATGTGTGTGTGTGTGTATGTTGTATCTATATGTGCTTCGAAGATGCAAAATTTAGCTTGAATCTTGGGTCATGGAAACAGAGCGAAGTGGTGTGATGAGTCGATGGATAGCCGCATTGGCTCCAGCTGCAGGGCTGATGTCAGGTACATCCTCCTGCATTCCAACCAGGGGCTCACTGTAGTACTCAGTAACTGTAACCCTGGCTAGTTGATCTTTCGGCCATGGGAAGGATTCTAGAAGCCAAGCAAACCGGGAATCCATCTTGGTTGACAGCGAAGAAGAGAAGCAGGCACAATACAGCACACCTGTGATAACAACCTTAATTGATGAGTGACTAGTATGTCTCAATGCATCTCTCTCAGCTTCGGCGGTCTCTATCATATGTGTAGCTTTTTCAATTAACATGGGTCTTCTGAGGGGACCATGGTGGTTTGGGGTGCCCAACTCTCAGTCGACCATCAAACGCGACACATGAAGGTATAGTCCGTGTGGGGATATTGCAAAAGAAAAAGAAAAGAAGAAACCAAGACACCAAGAAACCAGGAAGCCAGTGATACGACCGTGTCCAGCTGTTTGAGATTGTAGACTTGTCGTGTTTACGATACATCGTTATGAAATTCGCTGCGGGATTAACAGGACAATAGCGAGAATATAAGAATAGAATGGCCGGCCGGGGGATCAACAACTACTCAAATCATGCTACTCCCAATGGGGATTAGCCAGAGGGGTGCAGTACTTACTGAATACAACACGAATTATCCGTGATAAAGAGGAAATTACGGAGAACTTGTTCACTGCGCAGCCATCGAAACGGCGGTGACCCAACGCCAGCCAAAATTCCAGGAACATGGCAGGGATTACAGCTACAGCTCATTTAGCTGAAGAGTTTCTACTCGTACGTGGGTAGTTTTTTGCGAGTTGTAAGACTCATCACGGGATCAACCGGTTGGCAGGGCTGGGGGCGGGGCAACGTTCTTCCAACCACTTCCCTACAGTTACCTAAGAGTGACTTACGGAGTTTAGAACGTAGCCCGTAAATTGAGCCCTTCCCAAGTTCCCAGCTTGAGCTTTCCCCACCCAGCCGCCGGGTTCCGTCATCGAATCGACGTCAATCATCCATGCCGTATGCCTGAGGCTAGCCCACCAGACAAGCAAACCAGATCAACCAAGGCCAGAAAAAGAAGCACTGAGCCGTGACGGAAAGCGCGGAGGTAACAGGATTTCAGGGCAAGGCTGGGTGTGTCTGAAGCACGGTACAGTCCTCCTCCGTACTATACCTCCCCTAGGTAACGTACTACCTAAGTTGGTACTTGCAGTGCAGTGACGAGCTGGAACTTGGAACCACATAACTCTTCCTCCCTCTAGCTCCTCTTTCTCCTCTCCGCCCTCTCCCATAGAAAAAACACCACCACCGACTGAAGAGGTGATACACCTGTCCTCTCTTCCTTTCCCTCGCCTCATCTCTCCTCGCCTCTCCTCTCCCCACCTCCCCACCCCACCCCTTATCTCCCTCGTGTTCTGTTCTCTTCGGAGCTGGTCTCACTCCAGAGGCTGGTCCAATACTCTCGGTCTCTGCTGCCACTTGGTTCCTTTGGTGTCACTTTACCCCATGATGATGGAGCTTTCATTGCCGGTCCTCTAATCCATTCAGCTCCCCAATGAGTTCACTCGGCAACCTTCTCTTCGTTTATGTCCTTGGTGGACTCACGTTTTTCCCTCTCGTCATATCGCTATTCCTCCTCTATGCCTATCTGACTGCATCATCCCCGCCCTCTCAGCTAACCCGCCAACCCGCGCACGACTCCCTGCAGCGCGATAACGATGATCAGTACAGCTTAAAGTCCGGGACCGATGAGCTGGCCGAGAAGTTCCACCGCACGCATGACTCGGACGTGGCCGCCGGATATTTCGCAGTCTGTCGTGAATATGTTCCCGGTGGAGTCAATGGGAAACCTCCGGAAAGAACCACCCCGGCAGGGGAGGTGATCGCCGCGGAGAGCCCCAGTGTCTATCAAGCCATGTATAGAAGTTTATTCGATCGCAAGCAGACGCCGACTATTGAACCGACTAAAAATGTTACAAAGAACGGAAAGCGGGCGCGCAATGTATTCTACATCGTGCTTCGGTAGGTCATGCTGCGTGTCGCTCCCTTTGGTCGCAGAACTGCAAGGATTGATCCTGACCGTCCGTCTGTGCTAGACATGGGCACTTGATGCTCTACGATAATGCGAACCAAGTGGAAGTTCGATACGTCATTTCCCTTGCCCACCACGACGTGAGCATTCATGGCGGAGAGGGAGAAATTGCGGAAGGAGAGCTATGGCTGAAAAGGAACGCTATCTGCCTGTCACGACGTTTGGAGTCGTTGGGAGATCTCGGAGGCCCCACGCCACCGTTCTTTCTATTCTCGGAGAACCTGTCAGAGAAGGAGGACTTCTACTTTGCCATGCTCCAGAACCAGTCCAGGCTGTGGAACTCCGCGGATAGCCCTCCGAAACATCAGGCCTTCGATACCAAGCACATTGTGACGCTTGTGCAGCGACTTCATTCCTCCGAGGAACAGCTGCAAACCCGCTGGATCAACGCCGTCCTAGGTAGGTTGTTTCTTGCAATGTACAAGACGCCGGAGATGGAGGATTTCATCAGGAAAAAGATCACCAAGAAGATATCTCGCGTCAACAAGCCGAATTTCATCAGCAAGATCGGTCTACAAACGATCGACATGGGGGAAGGGGCCCCCTTCATAATCAATCCCAGGCTCAAGGACTTGACTGTCGATGGTACCTGTTGCGTGGAGACGGACGTGCAGTATACCGGCAATTTTCGTGTTCAGATCTCGGCTACCGTCCGTATCGATCTGGGTCCTCGTTTCAAGGCCCGGGAAGTTGATATTGTCCTAGCTGTCGTCTTGAAGAAACTCGAGGGGCATTTGCTCATTAAGTTCAAACCGCCTCCGAGTAATCGGATCTGGATATCATTTGAAACAATGCCCAACATGGAGATGAATATCGAACCGATCGTTAGCTCCAAGCAGATTACGCTTGGTATCGTCCTACGTGCTATTGAAAGCCGAATCCGTGAAGTGGTCGCGGAGAGTTGTGTTCTGCCATTCTGGGATGATATACCATTCCTGGATACTCAGCCCCAGCGTTTTCGTGGTGGAATCTGGCAGAGAGATATCCCGAAACCCGATGAGAAGGCTGATATCCCGGACGAATCCGAGGCGCAGCCTCTGATGCCTGGGGGTGTCCCAGATCAGTCCGTGGAAATCTTGAAGATGAAGGACGAACGCACGATGAGTGCACCTGCGCTTGGAGAGTCGGGCACAGCGACTTTGAAGGCCCGCAAGGCCTCGAAGGCCTCTATTGAGGACCCCGAAAAGAGTGGCACAAGTGCCCTGTCTTCTGCTGTAGAGAAATTGGGTACCTCGCCTCCAAGAGTCATCCGTTCTCAGACCTTCTCTAACGCTGCGGACCCCGTGGTGACTGCCGATCATGTAGGTTTCGACCGAGTCTCATCCGAATCCAAGGGGGAGGAAAAGATTAATGCAACCAGCACGATGAACGAGCTCTCCACCCGTTCCCCGCCTAGCTCACCAGAAAGGACACCTGGGACTTCACCTCCCATCGATAGTCATCTCGTTCCAACAAGTGCTTCCCAGAGTCGCGAGCCTTCCATTGTTGAGTCGGTTGACAGCTCTCGAGAGTCTTATGGCGATTTGCCCACACGACCCCCTTCGATTCATCACGGTAGTGAGTCGTCGATGAACGTAGACAGCATGACGAATGCTTCCACCACATCCTTGAACAGCAATAAATCGCGACGGCGGAGCACGATGGAGACATTGACTCGATCTCTTACATCTGCAACAAACTCCGATGTCAAGTCACAAGCCTCTCTGACCTTCAACACGGCAACGTCCGTCGCCAAGAAATGGGGATGGAACGTGTTTGGCAAGGGGGATTTCAACTCCGGTCAGGATGCCTCCCGTCCTGCTGGTACACCGGAGCAGCCGATTGGGCGTGGTCATCCCCTCCCACCTCCAGGCACACCGCTGCCGCGACCTGACAAGGTCAGCTACAGACGAACGGGAAGTTCGACCGTTGTCCCCAAACGCAAGCCGGTTAGCCACGCACCGTTCCCCGAGCATAAGCCGGAGAAAGAGAACCACCGACCTGTTCCAAAACCCCCTTTGCCGCCCCGACGAAAACCTGTGTATCATCCCGATGACAGCAGTAGCCGTCCCAGCGAACTATTGGTGGTTGAAGCGCCATATGATTCAGGTCCCAACAGCCCGGTTGTTGACACGACCCTGGAAGGGACATTGGCAACAACACCGAAGGAAGTTGATGCATCATTACATTCTCTGTCAGATAAAACTCAGAATCATACTAGTCTCGTGGAAGCGCCCTCAGACGGGGGGGCATCCGAGCCAAAACCACCGACGGTAGCCTCAGTGGTCAATCCCGACTCTGGAAAACATGGAATGGAATGGTTATCCGCCACAGACGGGATCATCCCTTGAGAGAATGAACCGACAATTGCAAGTCATTGTGTATCTCATTGTGTCTGTACTTGTTGGTGGTCATATATCGCAGCGC